GCTGGGGGTCGATATACTGCACCAATAACCAACTTCTTCACATGAGGCGCCTCTGGGAAATGTATGTTAGCAGATGACAGGGCTATTTCCACCCATGTGGCTTCCAGGAGAGGGATACTGAGGTCAGATCGATGGGTGACCTTTGGAAACATCCCAGACCGTACCATGATACAGACGCCGCCATATGCATGGGTGGCATCGGTAGCTGACCTGTTTTTATCTGGCGGACGATCTCGGCGAAAACAGTCATATCCAGGGACCGTGAAAGACGACTGTGGAGAGAGCCATGTTTCCGTTATGCAAACAATGAGGGGTTTAACTGTGGAACAAATGTGAGCCAGCTCGGCAGTCTTGTTCTTAATGGACCTGGCATTGATGCACATTATAGGCTGTGATCCTGCGGTTGGCTGTGAAAGTGGGTAAAAAGGCTGAGCTAATGGATTAAGTGTGCTGTTAGTAGTAATGTTTGGGGAACAGTGAGGAAGTATCGGGGGGTTGAGGTTCATTATTGTGCAGACTGATCGACGGTTGTGTTGTCAGCTGTACTTATTCTGTCAGCCTTGAATCGCCATTCTCGAGCTGTCACTCCGTCAGGCCAAAAGTCAGTGTTTTGCACAGCTTCCCAGTCATCTTCTGTGACGACTACGTGCGCGTACGCTAGGCCAAAGTACTTTGTCTCAGAGACGGAGCATTTCAGTACAGTCACTTGCTTGTTTTCGCACCATTTTGCGATGGAGGAAGCAGAGCAACCAGGGTGAATTCTTCCAACATGAACAGCTTTGCATTTGGTACGATGGGCACTGCGCAGTTGCTCATGTTTGCGGGGTGGGCGCTGGTAGTATGAAATGACGTTTGTCCGGAGGGCTTGATCAGTATGTGTCCCCGTATTGGAGGTAGCTGACTGTGTCATGGGAGAATGCGATGGGAAGTGAGCTTTGGGACGTGCAGATACTACTTTTGCACTGTACGAGTACGGGTTGACTGCAGAGTGCGTATTCCGTGCCTGTGCTGCTGCATCCAGCTCAGGAGAGACTTCTGCTACGGGTACGCTAAGTACGGGTGCGTCAGGTGCGGGTGTAACCTTTTTGAATTCCGAACTGCCAATTTCTCTCTTCAGAACTTCAATTTCGGCGTGGAGGGCTGAAATTTCGGCTTTTTGGCCAACCTTCAGTGCCACTATTTCAATGCTCAGGTTTTCAATACAGGTCGTCAAAGATAATAATGCATTCTCTAGCCTGGATACATACGTTCCGGCTCGTGCATCCACACCAAATGCCCGGAGGCTCTCCACCAGCTCAGCACGGGACAGCTTACTCACGCCCTCTATGCTGTGTTTTGTAGCCAGTTTCCGCAGGTCGTCGAATCCCAGCAAAGCTAAGTCCTGGGTCCCCTGGGCCTCCGACGCGTCAGAGTCCATGCCTACCAACTACTACTACCCGCTACTATGCTCCAGACCGGCCTGGTGCCGGCTGGGCTACTGGAAATCTACAAAGACTACGGAGCTCTAAAAACTCAACCTGACCTCAACACACACATGATGACCTTCGTTAAAAATCCAAAGAAGTGTGACATAGGACGCGTACGTATTACAAAAAGTGAGAACTAAGATAAAGAGTAAGTGTGACAAATGGGCATGAACAGTGCAGAAACAACTCATGAACACGGGGTGCAAACTCACGAAAATAACCTAAGTGCTACAACATGTTCTTTTTTGCTTACACAAATCGGGCTTATGCGTACGAATACAAACAGCTTCAAGGACCTTCAACTGCTGGACATAACGGGCACGACACAGTACAGAGAACTTTTTGTAATACTTACGCGTCATATGTCACATGTCACACTTCTTTGGATTTTTAACCTTTGCTTTTCCCTTGATCACGTTAGTTCCGTATTTCCACTGATGATCGGAGCTTGAAAATCGATTTTGGAAACACACAAAACCAAACCTTGAACAAATTGTCATGTTGCGTGCTGATGTCTGCGGCATTTATACTTTTCATAGCTATTATTAAACTTTTATCTCCACGTAGATTATTCATATACTGTTATACATGTACACGTACATGTACTTCAGTACAATGTACTGAAGTCATAGCGAAGGAGATATACCAGCTTTATGCAGGTTAATGCCAACGCGAACAAGCAAAATAATAATACTTCAGTACACGGGCAATTGCCAATTATTCCCAAAATTACTCCTTTGTACTTCAGTACATGAAGAGTGTGTTGCTCCCTTGAAAGAATTGTTGTCATATTGACCTCAAAATTGGTGAGATTATTATTTTTTACTAAGGCTACAGCTTCCAATCATGACATGCAAAGCAGCGGTGCAGCATCGCAGGCATGAATCGTGGACGTGGTGACGGTGTCTGATGTGCTCCACCGACCTAGGGTCTCGGCTTCACTGCACAGTAAACGCGTCGAAAGAAAACGGGGGGCTAATAATTATCGGGAGATGGAGGGGGGAGAAGAAGAGAACAAGGGGAGAGAGAGAGAGGATAGAGAGAGAGAGAGAGAGAGAGAGAGAGAGAGAGAGAGAGAGAGAGAGAGAGAGAGAGAGAGAGAGAGAGAGCGAGCGAGAGAGAGAGAGAGAGAGAGAGAGAGAGAGAGAGAGAGAGAGAGAGAGAAAGAAAGAGAGAGAGAGAGAGAGAGAGAGAGAGAGAGAGAGAGAGAGAGAGAGAGAGAGAGAGAGAGAGAGAGAGAGAGAGAGAGAGAGAGAGAGAGAGAGAGAGAGAGAGAGAGAGAGAGAGAGAGAGAGAGAGAGAGAGAGAGAGAGAGAGAGAGAGAGGGAGAGAGAGAGAGAGATCGCGTGCACACAGTGTTCATGCCCAAAGCCTCCAACCGAAAAACATGTGTGCGGTCGGTTGAAAAATGAAGGTCGGTACATTTAAGGGTGACCCGAAAACAACAAAAAAATGCTGGGTAGCCTGCATGTTATTTGTATAACCTAGGCACCGGCGGATTATGCCCGCGAAATCATGGAATTATGTTTTCATGGATTCTCGCATTATGCTCGCAAAATCCTCATATTATGCTTTGGCACGCGGGGATACATATTCACTTTGTTGTGCTTATGGAGCCTCAAATTTCGGAAATGTGCCTTTTTCGTACTTGCAAGTGGCCAGGAGTACAACAAATACATGAGTATCCCCTTACCAAGGTGTCCATGCATGCTAGAGATCAACATGGAAAAGAGAAAACATTACTTTTTCTATTCATTAGTTGACTTCTTTTGTTGTGAAAGGTTTTCCTTACCTTTGAAAACTGTCATGTTCAACTGTCTTTGTAATCGTCATACTCGTCCAACCGATGTCACCCTAACCCTGCGAATTCTCATAATCAGCTCATCTCTCCCGTAGCTCCAGCTCTCCTTCCATCATTACCGAACATCAACTATACCTCAATTTTTTTAATTATTAGAGCAATACCCATAACCTGCACAGTCATAGCTGCTAAGATCCAGACGTCATGACTTCGTAACAAGCATAGTAGTCATGTACGCGGAGTTTTGCGAACTACCCATCACTATCCCGTCCGCCCCGGGATACCTGCTAAAGCCGTAAAGGCTGATTCACTCGCATCTTCTGCGACATGTACTGTATCAGGGTGGGGAAGAACTTTGAGAAGACGAGTTCGAGCACACAACAATTTAATGTATTTCCATGATTTCTACCTTGCTTTTCATTGAAAACACTATCTGCATGACCTCCGAACCCTTTACCATGCAGACCACCAGCACTGATCAGGTGCATTGTACACAATTGTGTAGCCTACATACTAGAACTGTGACACAATCATGCAGTTACGCTCCTACCTCCGAAAGGATGCCAAATTATGCTCCAAATTTTCAACCACCAAATTATGCCAATTATTATGCCGGCATAATCAGATAATCCGCCGGTGCCTAGTACTATTAACCCCCTTTGTATTTTGCCGTCGAAGATTCAGCTATTGTTTGGTAGCTATGTGCAGCAGTCGACTTGAGATCAATGACTATGCTGAACGGTGGACCGCCACCTACATGTACATGTACAGGTAGCCCCGTACCAGATTGTGCAAATTAATATTGTGGTTCTTTCGGAATCCACGCCTAAAAAAACAAACCGCCGGAACTGCATGCAAGAGCCGGATCCATACCATGGCACTTGATATGCGGTAAATGAGCGCGATCTGCATGATCGTACAGTCCCTAGATTCTGCTCAATGAAATCCAGTCCCGGCACTCATATCACGTAACTGTTACTTTACTAGTCTTTGCGCCGTGCACCATTTTCGAATCCCAGTGCAGCAGTGCTAGTGCTCGCAGGTCTAGGGCCGGCTGCGCAACGCCCGGCGCGTACATGACTCATGACAGGACCGGATTTCATTCAGCATCACTAGCACTATACTGTACAGTCCTGTAGATCTACATGTACATGCACGAAGGATCTAGGTCTAGGAGTCACCATTCTTTCCATAACTACCGGTACTTTATACCTGGCAGACTTTATTAGTATTACAGAACGTGATCTGATGATGGTGTCGATCGCCTCGGGGTGTCATGAAAGCTTTCATGACTCTCTGGTCTACCATGGTACATCTCATCTGGTAGACCTACATGGTGTACATCTAGACGCGCACGCCTCGAGGGATAATAACAACCATGACAACAGCGTCGACTGTACTGGCGCACGGCGTGAAAGCGGACGTCCGGACACTTCGCTTGAAATATCATACCAGAAGTAATATTAGTTAGCTTGTTAGTACAGTATGCGTCACGCTCTACGCGATCAAGCGGAAAAAATTATCATCCCGCGATCCGCAGCACGACGAAACTAATGAGGATTGTTAGATAACACGATTTGGAAATTTGAGTCTGGAATCCAGACAACCGAGTTATGTTACTGCCGTCCTTGATTATGCCTACGCCTACTATGGTACTCAATCATGCAGTAAATAATTGATTACAAGAAAGCGTCTTCCCAGCTGATCGCTTGCAGTTGCAGAAGGAAGAAACGTTCAACCGTCCTCCGCTCGGAGGTCCCGAAGACGTTTTTGTGTTTCTCTTCATTCTTACGAGGTGGGTGGTGGAGTGAGTTTGCATTGCATCTGACTTTTTGGGTAGACGCGATGTTAGATTACCGGCTGACACTGACAGTGGCAGGCTGCATCGCTGTGTTTTGTTCGAGCATCGCCTTGGGTAGCGTTGAACAATGCGAAGAGGAGGAAATACACGAAAATCGTCTACATACATGTACGTGCGAGAAATGGTTTTTCGTTCAAGTGGTCGGTGACCCGCAAGCGGATGAATCTTCCACAAAGCTGCCATGTGGAGAGGATGAGTTAAAGCCGTGTCCATCATTGGTTGCTGCCCTCCATTCTGCCACTGAGTGGAAAAGGGCAACTGCTGACAATGACAGTCTCACTCACGCCTGGATCACAATTTTGCTGAAGGGAGACGTGAATTGCTCGGTACCTCTTCATGTACGCGTTCTTGAAAAGGCGGACAGTGCCTCTGAGTTTGATATCAGTCGCGTTACGATCAGACCTGCGAACAGCACATTATGTCCCACAATTCGACTTACTGCAGCATCCTCAAAGCCAGTGCCCCTGAAGTTTTCGAATGCATCAGCAGTGCGCCTCAGTGGTCTTGAGTTTGTCTCATCGACCGTTTATCTTGTCATTCGAATAGCTCATCTGTTCCACGTTGACCGATGTAAGTTCTCCATCAAAGCAGAGTCCATGAATATGCGTAGGCATGTGACGTCTGTGACTTTCTCGTCCGATGTGTTCTTCACACATTGTGTGTTTGAGTTGATGGCCGGAGAGGCTCGACCAGTCATACCTGACGGTGCAACTAATGTCAAAAACTGGGTCAAGCCTGTGTTCAATGCAGTCATCCCGTCTACCACCACCGATGGCATTCTTTCTGACACGGACACATTCCGACAGTGGGCAGCTGGTGAGCCGGTAATTTGCCAGGCGTACGCCAAGGAAAGAGCCCACTCCGTGTGCGGAGCAGAGTCCAGCAAGAACTGCGCAGACAGCGGCAGCAGTGGCAGCAGTCGGTGGAAGATGGCACTCGTAGTGTACAACTGCACCTTCCGCAACCTGGGCCGGCACTTTGTCATGGATCGGCCGTATTTGGTGTCAACAGACCGCACCCAGGGGAGTGCGCTGACGATCTTCTTTGACTGTGAGGCCAGACATCGCACAGTTATCATCGATCGGTGTATATTTGTGAACAACATGCACCCGCGGGACTCGCCTCTCATGCTCCAGTTCAACACGCATTATATACAGAACAATCCGCATTGCCGGAATGGATCTATAACCATGAACAACATGGTCTATGTTACAAACTCGGAGTTCCGAAATAACTCAGCCCTTTTGGGCGGTGCTGTATCCGTGATCACACTCGACCACTCCTATTTCAACAACGTGAAGTTTGAAAACAACACATTTGCTGACAACAAGGCCCGACAGCAGGGTGGTGCCGTTGCGGTCTACTTTGCCATTGTTACCGTTACAACGAACTGCTTCTGGGCAAGCAACAACAACACGTTCCTGAGGAATTCGGTCCAGTTTCCTGAAAACCCAGGTTCGGCTGTGTACGTGTATGCAGCCAGCGAGTCAATTACCTTCAACTACCAAACTTACTTCAGGGAGCAACAAGGTCTGAACACTAGTGAGGCCGATGGCTACTTGCGGCGCTGCCATAAAGAAACATCTGTCCTGATGGAGGACACCACTTTCACTGGCAATCGTGGCAATGGAGCATTCTTTGCTCGCAATGTAGATGCAATATTCCGCGGCACAAGGTCAGCACACTGTAGCTCACAGACACACTGCTAAAGACTATTAATTTTAAGGTAGCTCGGGCCTATATCGCGAAATATATCGGAGGTCAAAAACCACTTTCTGTCTGATTTTGTTGAAATTTTCAGGGTTGAAGCATCATGAGGGAAACCTGTTAATCTTTAAATTTGGCTAGTGTGTAACGAATTCTTCCCTTTATGTGAAAGACACATCCATACGTTCGCATTTATGTCGCGAAATAGGAGAAAAACCTACTTTAACAAACAGGAGTTCGCTCTTCATTTGTTTCTATGAGGCAGGTTTGTACTGAACTATGATATAAGTGCGCTTCAATTCTTTTTCTGGAATTCAGGACCACTATAATCGCACACTGTTGAGGCAAATACACTGGAATCAATTACGAGAGACAATATTTTCTTCGCATATTTCTGCAAACAGTGGGTAAACTCACCCTCTCCTCAATTTAATTGGCTGTCTTGACATGCCATGAGGTGCAGAAATAAATGAATAAATAATAAATAAATATACGAGTCTAATGGCCTAACATCATCTTGACATAACTTTATGATACTGACGTAGTGCGATGCAAATAGCAAGAAAAGCTCAATCATTTTCGGGCCAATTTTGCAAAATTTAAAATTCAAAGCATTTTGCAACCAAATTGAATCGGGGTTCGAAATACCTGTTTCGTCTCCCCACACAAAAGCCTGTACTTTCAACCAATGTATTTTTGATGATAAATCTACCCTGATATGTTCCAATACCATGGGAATTACTGACATGATTTCAAGAAGCAACAGATGAAGGTTGGAAGCATTTTATTGTCCTCGGTGTAAACCTGTCTCTTTCTTGGAGAACGCAGAGAATTTTGCATCACGTAGGTTCTTGCAGCTCGGGGCTCTTGAACACAACGTTCCGTATAAAATACCCATTTATTTCTAGAGTACCGCAAAGCAATCGTGAAGTTCCATTGCCAGGCATAGTCGCTGGTCTTTGAGCAACCCCCAAAAACCTTTCAGCATCCCATTATTCGAATATACATTTGACCCTGATAAAGCGAACACCATATTGCAGGAGAATTAGCTTCTTGTAGCCGAAGATCATTATAACAGAGATGCACTGACACTACACAAGCAACAAATTGTGACTGGCCGTGGTGTAACCCATGACTATATGAGTGCGCTTGGTTTACATACGGCCCTTCAAGTTGTGGTTCGTTATAGACAAAAAGGGTTCACTACAAAGGGCCATTTTGTATGGGCTCAAACAAGGACATGGACAATGCTTCGCTTCATCACAAAATTCACTATAATTATGCGAGTTCATTATAGGTGGAGTCAATTGACTGTAGGGGTACATTTCCCGTAGGCAAGCTACCAAGAAGCAATTGCTCAATCGCAAGATGGAGCAATTTCGTATTGATAACTCTCAGATATGCAGCATTGATTCGTAGGCAATGATGCGTCAGTACCAGCAGAGACTAGAGCAAAACATGATTTGAGGTGTTGTTTTCCCGTCTATATTTTCCTTGTAGTGTGGTATCGTCTAGCACTGGCACTGGTATAGCTGTGTCGTGTGCTACAGTGAGGTTCAGAGGAGGCCCAGTGAAAATTGTAAACAACGCAGGGAATTTGGCAGGTGCATTCAAGGCAACTGAGTTTGCCCGTGTCCTGTTTCAAGTGGAAGTAAGTGCTAGATTCTCCTGTTGCAAGCCGCGTCCCTATTTGTTTGGCAAAGAATACTGATCAACTTCAACAGTCTTATTGAAGGTGCGCTACCTTCAGACTTTTCTGCTGCATTTATGGTAGAAAATGCGTATGTTATACTCAGTTAAGGTGTACACGAACAGCGGAAGGTATATGCTACACACCAACAGCCCAATATACTGTTTATGTTCAGTTTTGCAGTCAACTCACCTACACCTTGGTCTGCAGTGCCTAGTTCACTCAAAATCCAGTACTATGTCAATGTTTCGGGCTTCATGACCATCGTCAAGAGATGCGAGCTCACGTCTTGATTGGCATTCAACTGGCATTCAACTGTTACTTTAAGACATGTTATTATAACGAGTCGCAAATTTAACGATTGTCCAAAATTCGTAGTTTAACGAGAAGATAATTATGTTAACCGATCTTGCAGTATTCCGGCATATCCACACACAACATATATGAAGCAGTACGGCCTCAACGGATCTTATTATAACGAAAAAATGTCATCCGTTAGAACGTTAGATTTACTTCCTCGTTATATATACATGTCTTACAGTAATCGCCTTTCATTTCTGTATCTCTTCTTCAGATGTCGCAAGTCACGATTGTGAATAATACAGCCGAAGCCGATGGCGCTGGTTTGTTGACTGCTGACCCAACGTCTGGCAGTCCATCCTTCGATGAGTCTCTATACTACATTGGCAACACAGTGGATAACACCCACAGATGCCCAATGGAGTTTAAGGCCAAGCTCACACTGCAGGAGGCAAAGGTAGAGGTGGCTGTGTAATTCCAAATCTAGCTTTAAGCCGCTCCTGCTGATGAAGAACTTTTCGTGACTTTATAGCGACATCATAGTCACATCATAGTGACATCATGGCAAGACTACTTGTATATCGATATCATGGCAAAAATCATGATCTTACAAGATCTAGAACCGAAATAGGTGGAAAATCTAGAGAAGCTACCTACACGTATGGGTACTTTCGTGGCTACAACGCCGCTCAATGCAATCCGATCATGGGAGTCTAGTTTGTAATGGAATCCGATCATGGGAGTCTAGTTTGTAATGCAATCCGATCATGGGAGTCTAGTTTGTAATGCAATGCGATCATGGGAGTCTAGTTTGTAATGCAATCCGATCATGGGAGTCTAGTTTGTAATGCAATGCGATCATGGGAGTCTAGTTTGTAATGCAATCCGATCATGGGAGTCTAGTTTGTAATGCAATCCGATCATGGGAGTCTAGTTTGTAATGCAATGTGATCATGGGAGTCTAGTTTGTAATGCAATGGGATCATGGGAGTCTAGTTTGTAATGCAATGTGATCATGGGAGTCTAGTTTGTAATGCAATGCGATCATGGGAGTCTAGTTTGTAATGCAATGCGATCATGGGAGTCTAGTTTGTAATGCAATGTGATCATGGGAGTCTAGTTTGTAATGCAATGCGATCATGGGAGTCTAGTTTGTAATGCAATGCGATCATGGGAGTCTAGTTTGTAATGCAATGTGATCATGGGAGTCTAGTTTGTAATGCAATGTGATCATGGGAGTCTAGTTTGTAATGCAATGCGATCATGGGAGTCTAGTTTGTAATGCAATGTGATCATGGGAGTCTAGTTGGTAATGCAATGTGATCATGGGAGTCTAGTTTGTAATGCAATGCGATCATGGGAGTCTAGTTTGTAATGCAATGTGATCATGGGAGTCTAGTTTGTAATGCAATGTGATCATGGGAGTCTAGTTTGTAATGCAATGCGATCATGGGAGTCTAGTTTGTAATGCAATGTGATCATGGGAGTCTAGTTTGTAATGCAATGTGATCATGGGAGTCTAGTTTGTAATGCAATGTGATCATGGGAGTCTAGTTTGTAATGCAATGTGATCATGGGAGTCTAGTTTGTAATGCAATGTGATCATGGGAGTCTAGTTTGTAATGCAATGTGATCATGGGAGTCTAGTTTGTAATGCAATGTGATCATGGGAGTCTAGTTTGTAATGCAATGTGATCATGGGAGTCTAGTTTGTAATGCAATGTGATCATGGGAGTCTAGTTTGTAATGCAATGTGATCATGGGAGTCTAGTTTGTAATGCAATCCGATCATGGGAGTCTAGTTTGTAATGCAATGTGATCATGGGAGTCTAGTTTGTAATGCAATGTGATCATGGGAGTCTAGTTTGTTATGCAATGTGATCATGGGAGTCTAGTTTGTAATGCAATGTGATCATGGGAGTCTAGTTTGTAATGCAATGCGATCATGGGAGTCTAGTTTGTAATGCAATGTGATCATGGGAGTCTAGTTTGTAATGCAATGTGATCATGGGAGTCTAGTTTGTAATGCAATGTGATCATGGGAGTCTAGTTTGTAATGCAATGTGATCATGGGAGTCTAGTTTGTAATGCAATGTGATCATGGGAGTCTAGTTTGTAATGCAATGTGATCATGGGAGTCTAGTTTGTAATGCAATGTGATCATGGGAGTCTAGTTTGTAATGCAATGTGATCATGGGAGTCTAGTTTGTAATGCAATGTGATCATGGGAGTCTAGTTTGTAATGCAATGTGATCATGGGAGTCTAGTATGTAATGCAATCCGATCATGGGAGTCTAGTTTGTAATGCAATGCGATCATGGGAGTCTAGTTTGTAATGCAATCCGATCATGGGAGTCTAGTTTGTAATGCAATCCGATCATGGGAGTCTAGTTTGTAATGCAATCCGATCATGGGAGTCTAGTTTGTAATGCAATGCGATCATGGGAGTCTAGTTTGTAATGCAATCCGATCATGGGAGTCTAGTTTGTAATGCAATGCGATCATGGGAGTCTAGTTTGTAATGCAATCCGATCATGGGAGTCTAGTTTGTAATGCAATCCGATTGTCGCTGATCTGCACATTGATATTTGTTTGATATTTATTTTGTACCTTTGCAGCACTGCACAGTTTGTACGAGGACTTGGAGATTTATGCAGTGCATGTCTACAGCTTTGAATGCGTGCCTACTGCGCAGTACTAGTCCCGAGTTGTAGTGCGGGTTAGCATACAGGTGTGAACGCTACGCACTTTTCATGCAAGCTACTTTTCTGCATTCTGTACTTGCTTTCATGCACGTGTCGCTGGCATACGCGATATGGGGGCCGGGTTTGTGTATTGGTTTTGAACCATGTGGTTCTTCTTTTCAGTATAGTTGTTCTTTTGGTTGCTCCGCGAGTTGTTGCTTTGGTTGGAGACAAAGATGGCTTTCCGTTTCAGTAATATAATGTAATGTAACTATAACTGATAGTATACTGTTGAGTGTTGGGATGCGTTGGGACCCCGACACCAATACCGATCATGGGAGTCTAGTTTGTAATGCAATGCGATCATGGGAGTCTAGTTTGTAATGCAATCCGATCATGGGAGTCTAGTTTGTAATGCAATGCGATCATGGGAGTCTAGTTTGTAATGCAATGCGATCATGGGAGTCTAGTTTGTAATGCAATGCGATCATGGGAGTCTAGTTTGTAATGCAATGCGATCATGGGAGTCTAGTTTGTAATGCAATCCGATCATGGGAGTCTAGTTTGTAATGCAATGCGATCATGGGAGTCTAGTTTGCACCCTGCACCATTTCACAGCCCAGTGTTTACAGTGCTCTGTCCATGTGTGGTACATGTGTGGTACATGTGTGGTACATGTGTGGTACATGTGTGGTACATGTGTGGTACATGTGTGGTACATGTGTGGTACATGTGTGGTACATGTGTGGTACATGTGTGGTACATGTGTGGTACATGTGTGGTACATGTGTGGTACATGTGTGGTACATGTGTGGTACATGTGTGGTACATGTGTGGTACATGTGTGGTACATGTGTGGTACATGTGTGGTACATGTGTGGTAGAGGAGACGGCTCGATACCGGGACGTTTTGACAGCCAAATTTGTATAGACCCAAACCGATCACCAGCGTTGATTTTTCACTCGAAATATGTTTGTGGAAGGAAACTGGCATGTTGAAGTTTGCTCTGGGGCCAGAGTCAATCGAACTGAGCCACTCGTTTGTGTTGACCCATTGCCTCCAAGTTGCCCAATTTTTCGCTTCAAAAAAGTTCAAATCAGAGGTGGCTCCAAACCGGACACGTTTTAGAGTGCACGTCAAATTCACTCTGGGTCTGAAATTAGGTAATTGCTATCGCTCCACGACGGCCAGTACAGAGTAACAATAAGCCTTGTGTGTGCTTCCATTAGTTTTGATTGGTATGCGGTGCTTTATTGGCGAGAGGCGAGCCGCTGTTTACCTGCGACAAGGAGTTGATTTTTCGAAAGTCGTAAAACTCAAGTCGCAGTGCGAAGCAACACGTCAAAAACTCACCTGCTTGATATGGCGCTTCTGGTTATCGCAGAGCCATGACATTTTGGCTCGGAGTATAACACATCGTAGTCTTACTGTGACATATGTTTTCTAATCAAAATACCAAGAGAGAAAGTGAATATTGAGTCCGTTCCGGTTTGCAACCGGTGTCCTATTTGAAACCGTCCCCTCTACATGTGTGGTACATGTGTGGTACATGTGTGGTACATGTGTGGTACATGTGTGGTACATGTGTGGTACATGTGTGGTACATGTGTGGTACATGTGTGGTACATGTGTGGTACATGTGTGGTACATGTGTGGTACATGTGTGGTACATGTGTGGTACATGTGTGGTACATGTACATACGTTTTGAAATTACACTGGCGTCTTGATCCAAATAATCCTGATGATCGCGCAAGCGTGAAACTTGGAGTTCAAATCAAATTTTCTTCCACCTTTCTTGCAAGGAAGCTCTGCCCTTTCGGCCATTGAGCACTTTGTGTGCAGATGGGACTTAGCCTACTGGGGCGTCTTAATCTTCAGCCTGCATGTACATGTGGTAATCTATGTCCAGTGGACTGAGCCAAAAAAGAAAACTCTAACTCAGCAATGACACAACGAAGTCCACTGAGTGTTATCTGATGAGTGTTTTCGTAAATTTGTGTCTGTATTTGACTATTCGTTACGAAGTCAAATGGCATCATTTCCCAATAATATGATAGCGATGGAAATTTAGCACAGAACTCTGAGTATTAGTAAAGAATGACTTGATTGGGTCATTGCTGTGTGAGAGTTACATATGCGACATTCCAGTTCTCTTTTTTCTTTTTCTTTCATTCCTTCGCTTCCTGCTTCCAGGCACTGCTGGATGAGAACAGCCAGGCAACAGAGCATCCTGCAATCTTGGTGTCTAGCTGGGAGAATTGTTTCCCTCAGTTCAATCCCCTAGACCACCCTGACCAATATCCTAATGCTAGTCAAGTGGCAGCGAACAAAACAACCAGGCCCTTCTGTCTGCCCTATGTTTCACCGATGTATAATTACAACTCAACTACTCATCCAGAATGCAGCATCCACTTAAACATGCTGCATGGTAAGTATCTTCATAGATATTGTCGATTGATCTGGGTGGACAAAGAGGAACATGTGACTTCGATAAGGCAGAAATTGGTGGACGATACATGTAACAAAGATGCAAAAACACTTCAAACTAGTTTTCGTACAACTCTCGTGAGGAAGAAACGTTGCAATGGAGAACACCAATGTGACAACGGGACTATTATACTGAAGTAGTGAACTTCGCAAGTGAGAAATTAACAGCTTCAGCAACGCGTCAAGAAAAACTAAGAAATAATAATATGAGCCGCAATCAGCGAAAACGACCCTCAGAGGTTTCGTAATGTTTTCGAGAAAAAGGTCGATTTGTGACGTTCAACGTTTTTTTTGATCGCGCTGTTTGCGAGTTCTTCTTGAACTCATTGCTTGAAGTAATTTATATTGAAGAAGTGGTGTCGAGTCGCGCCTCGAGTGTTCCTCGATCGTGTTGCGATGGCTGCGGACGCCCGGCCAGAGCTGTTCGCAGAGCACACACGCCAGTCATTGTGTACAGCTAGCTCGAGCCTGATGGGGAGTGTTTTTTCTTTTCTTTTTATTCTACAAAGAACACAAACCCGGCCCGAGACAAAAAATTAATAAGAACAAGAAAACAGTACGAAGTAGTGGTTGCGACTTCGGCGATGATTTGTAAGAAAGGTTTGCTCCCCACACCGGAGCTCGCGCTATTCCGCCGACTTTACTTGACACTTGACTGACAGCGTTGCGAATGACCGAGGGTCCTCGACGTCTGTCTCACCGTCCAGGAGCGACACTGACTCACGCTGCTATCTGGTGTTCACGAGGTGTTTATCGCGCTGGAAGCGGAGCGTCTCTGTAAGTTTGTATCCCTGGTGATGTTTGTGCCTGGAGAGCACTATATAAGTGGTGCTCTTCAGGCACAATCTTCCTCAGCCTACTCAAGCTCAACTGATGAGGGGTGAATTCCCCGAAACACTGTGTATTGAGCAGGGAGTGGTGCTTTCTTGCAGGTTTGCCGAGTCGAAGGTTCGATGGACTTCTCGTGTGCTCTGGATGGCAGTCGTGAGTCAGTCAAGTGTCAAGTAAAGTCGGTGGAATAGCGCGAGCTCCGGTGTGGGGAGCAAACCTTTCTTAAGAACAAGAAAGATAACAAAGTTGCATGCAGGAAGAACGAAGAAACGACTAGAACACAGAAGTTGTGGGTTGACAGAACAAACAACAACTAATGAGTTGGGGCTGACTACTAGTATCCACTAGCCCAGCTGTGTAGGTGGGGCGTTGTGGACTCCTCCGACCAGAGGTCTCAGTATCCTTGCACACAACGTGCACCAGGGGGGGGGGGGGGGGGGGGGGTAAAAAAGAAAGAAATAAGAAAGAGTTAGGCCATCAGGTAGTATGCTAGTCTGTGGTGTACACGTCGATAGCAGTCCCACAAGTTTTCTCGAGGAGGTACTTGTACACTGCTACTTTGAAGCGTTGCAGCGCTGCCTTGGATGGGGGAGCATTCAGGATGGCAGAGGGAAGAGCATTCCATGTTGTTAGTAGGCCGAACGGGAAGGAGTGGATGCTGAAGTAGCCGCTGAAGTTCAGAGTGAGGATGAGACGTTCTTTGTTTCTGACATCGATGTCGACAGCGAGGCGGAATCGCAACCGCCATCTCCTGTGGCGATGCGGCTCAAGGTGGCCGATGACTTGTCAGAGTGGGAAGATAAGGAATTGTCACCTGAGATAAATTCTGAGTCTGAGGCTAGTGACGGCAGCGACATCGTGTCTTCAGCTGTGGAGGAAGAAATGGAAGACGAGATTGCGGAATGACTCCACGCAGGCTGCAGCTGCGAATATTTCGATCATTTCTCCGCATTCATCAGCTATTCTTTGTCATTATAGCTGCTTACTGCACTATTTCAAAGGTATTGAAGCTGCCCACCCACCTTAGAATGCTGAATATTCATTGTACGCCTACATCGTAAACAGTGGAGATTAGATATAACCTGTCCCCGGGGAAAATTGCGGAGTAAAATCACAAAAAAACGGGGGGAAAAACGCGGCATAATATGGCATAATTTGCGGTGAATTTACGGTAAATATGCGGTAAATATGCGGTGAATAATATTGATGTGCGGCAATTTTCAGTGAGTATGTAGTGAAATCAATCAGTTACAAGTCTCTGGTGTAAGCACTCGTCATATTTGAGTAAAAAGCCGCCACGATGGGACGTTGCTGACCGAACAGTGCACTGTGTGTACGTGTAGTGCAACAAAAAAGTTCAAAAAACGCGGGAAAATAGCGGAAACGCGGTTTTTTTTTAATCTCAAAAAACGCGGAAAAAAACGCGGCCGCGGAATCGCAATTTTCCCCGGGGACAATATAACGACCTTGGATATAACGACCTAGGATATAACGACCTTGGATATAACGACAAATCGAGTTTAGCGACAAATATCTGTTGCCCGAGTCGTTTAGCAAGTCCTTCCTGTACATTATAGATCGGGTATAACGACCTCGAAAATAACGACCGATCAAATTTACTGACACTTTTGGGTGCCCGAAGACCTGAAAATGCATAGAATATAACGACTTTCCTCTTGTATCAGACCTGCAGGCAGAGTGGCATGCATGGGACACGTCTGTGCCACACGCCTGGACGTCTGGGTCACTCTACGCGTGCTGGTCATTGCACATTATCAGTGTAGCCGCAGTACAGCGCTAGCGGTGTAGTTGCTATGCATGCCTTTTGGCTTAAACAACATTTGTATACATGCAAGACACATGCACATACACATCTGAAATCTTCTATTATGCACATGCATATCTGCAATAGATTTCTGTCATTTTGATATACATAATTGCATACTAAAATATCAAGTAGTGTAAAGATCGGGTTTAGTGACAGATCGAATATAGCGACATTTTGTTTTCTCCCAAAAGGAGTGTCGTTATATCCAATCTCCACTGTACAACATTGCACCAATTTGGAGCACATCTCGAATATTTGTGTATACTTCAGAGTACACCCGTCAGTTTGAATCGTAATATGGAACTTTTGCTTGGCTAAGGTCCTTCAGTAGATGTGTTTCAACAAATTTCTAACCAAAAAGGAATTTTGAAAATGTTGAATAGAATGAGGCCAAACACAGTCATGTACTACCAGCACGCTACAGCGTGAACAAGACCATGTGGCCATTACTGACCCGGCAAACATCACGCTACTACTTCAGAGATATTAAATGAATAATACTGTCCTTCTGAACACACATATTTGGCCTATGGATGCATTGACACACAGCTTCTGACACCTGAAGCTGCAACTTGTAATCATGACAGGCACCGCACAGCACGGAAAACTTGAATGCACCTTGTAACAATCAGGATTAGAAACAAGATGACTTACTTCCACAGAACACCCACCCACAATCACTTTGACGCACATTCTCACAATCGCTCTCACTCCACTCACTGCCAGAATCTCTGTCAGCGACACTTTCTCTCTTCCGCCTCTCCTTCTCTACATCCATCCCGTCTATGTCTCTCACCTTCGTTTGCAAACTCCATTCACATCTTCTTTGGCTGCTGCGTCCCTTGCCGTTGAAATATGTCATATTTCCAGTGAGCTGTCATTCTTCTTGGTCTAGTCGCTCATGTTGTGGCAAGATCCATTGCTGGTGCTGATGAAGTAGGTGATATGATTGATGTTGTGATGTCTTATCCACAGCCTGTTTTTCACCATAGCCTGTATTTAGTTTGCCAGTGGCTGTTAGAGAAGATTCGGACCCTGCGACAACACATTTGGTGGCAACAAATGAAGCCAAGCAGGCATGTGCAAGCTACGTGAAAGTAGCTTGCACATGCCTGCTTGTCTAAGAAGAGAATTACCTAGCCCATATACCCCTAGTTAATGGCTGGACAGTGCTTGCCAAATGGCTGTTCTGTGTCATCCACCTGAGTGTGGTGAAGATGCTCTTGACAACATGTTCTTAGTGTATGATGGATTAACTCTCTGTGTATTTGTCACTGTTTATGCACGTAGGTGTTGATATCTTTCACCACCAAGACGATATTTGCTACAGCTCGTGTCACGACATGCATGTCATCAACAAGCCAGACATGTTCAGCACACGAGTAAAGACAAAAGGCGCTTGGCTTGTGTTTAACTCCACCACCACGGCCTGCTATCGGACGTTTCGCGGAAGGGTTTACTATTACCGCAAGGACTGCACCCGCGAGACCCTGACCAAAGACATGATGCATAGGTGAGATAAATTAATACATGCGTATTGCATACCGAGAACCCTGGGTATGTTTGGATGAACTATGGCGAGTTTCCAAGGTGTATATTGATGGCTATGTGTTTCCAATTAATTCTCGCCTCCTCGTCGATTGTTCAAATTCAATTAAGAATATATGACTATCTGCCCGTTATCAACAGGTATTTTGCAATTGGTGATCTTATTACAGCTGTTACAGTCTATCACCATGACAACAGGTACCGTCAGCCTCCTAGCCTAGACCGTTCTTATTTTCATGTATTACAGTCTATGCACAGTTCAGTCATCGTGTATACATTGGTATGCTGTGCTTGGTAAAATTCTAGTCTGAGCATTCTCTGGTGCTCGACAGTACTGTACTGGAGCTGAATTCGCCTCTATCTTGCAAAATGGAACATACACTTGCCCTTTTCTGCTGCAGTCTATTTGTATTATGGCCGAAACAGCCTGGGCTTTGTGTGGCTAGCATGCAGTGGCAGGGGAGAAATTTTATCGGCAATGCATTGAGAATTGCTTCCCTCCTTATTTCCTGCCATGTGAGCAGACTAGAGGATCAAGACCTGCCGTGGACGGACTGCGCGCTTTTTCGTCAGGTCCTCATGCGTTTGCGGTACAAGTCATCGTTCGCACCTGTCTTACCTGGACTCAAATTTGTGCTAGTGCCATGGGCTGGTGCACTACATGGTTGGATGAGTTACATGGAGCAACACCTGAAGACCAGGGCACCAGAGGATGATGGATTGTTCCAGGAACGTGCACTGGCATCTTGCTTCTTCACGGTGAGTCTTCGTCATTAGTTATTATTGTTATTATACGCATTCCCGCAGCAGCGTCAACCAAGCAATTATGCTTGATCCACACGCTTGCTTATGCTGGGCATTGAAACAGAGCAGATGTAGATATCTCCTACAGAATGGGGCTCTACAAAACCAATGATCAATGTTAATATTTCAGTAACATGGAGTAACATAGAGCGTCATAAAATTGGTTATATTGGGAAAAACGTCGTCATTATTGTCTCATCATATAGCATCATGGTCAATGGCTGAGTTTCCAGATAATTAAGATTTAAAATAGTAATATTATTATAGAATGGTTGTTATGAGGTTATAAGGGTGCCATGGCTGTTTCTACTCGTGGCGAGGGAGTGCACAAACACTCTTCACCAGTGCGTTCCATGCTGGACGGTCCGCAGCAATCTGCTTCAGGCGGCGCAAGTCCCCCGCACTCCGCAGCTGCCCATTGCCCGACTGGGACAGATCGGTGTGGAGCTTTATTGGCAGTGTCACCCTCGGCCTCCCATGGAATCTCCCCTCGGGTGCCTGGAAGTATTGTTCCATGCTCAATCGTGCTGGCGTGTCCTTACCCAGGCAAAGCACATGCCCGAATAGGCTCCAGCGTGAATTTCGGATCAAGTCCGACACTGCCTCCACTCCACATTGGGCATACAAAGCCAAATTACTAATTTTCTGTGGCCATGTGATGCCGAGAAGTGACCTGAGCTGCCTTCTATGGAAAGCCTTCAGGGAGCGTTCGCTAGCAACCGTCAGGCCCCAGGTGCCTGAAATATATAGCAGTATCGGCAGGATAAAGGCGCAGTACAACCTCAATCGCAGAGGCTCTCGGATCAGTAATCGGCGCTTCCAAAGAGACAACATGGATCGGAAAGCAGCCTCGGCCAATTGCCTGCGCCGTGTCACAGCCTCAATGTCGCCCATAAGTGAGCCCAGCTTTCGGGATGTCCTCCAGTGCTCGTCAACCCTGTCTACAGATCGACCCAGCTCTGTCCACTCAGTTTTGGTGTTGTTGACTCTCAGGGCCCATTGCCTGAGAGTGTGGTCTATGACCGGTTCGAGCTCCGTGAGCCTCTCTGAGTCTCTATCATAAGCACACTCCAAGAGGGCTTCGAAGATATACAAGCGCAGTCTCCAATATAAGGGACCATCGCAAAAGTTCGCAGAAGCCCCTGAAACGAAGAGCATACGTTTGGGGGGGGGGGGGAGGGAGTCGTGTCGAAAATCGCAAACCGGGCTTCAATTCAAAAAAGTATTGACGACATGTAGGAGCTGATATAGATTAGCATGCCATCACAGCCAGCGTAGATCGCTTGTCAGGACGCGTAGTCCATTCATGCAACTGCGCGTGTCGCGTACCTGGCTGCCTGTACACTGTGTGTAGTCTGGTACCAAGAGTCCATAAAACGCGTGGTTTATGGACTCTTGCTAGCATGTACTAGTACTAGCAGTACAGGGGTTCATAGGGTTTATGAACCCCTGCTGTGTAGTATATTATAATAATTATTATTATGTGTGCAGCATCCAAGTGAAATAATGAAGCCCATATTGTGACTGTCGTTTCGTTTGAGGGGGAGGGAGGGGGGTCAGGCCCGAAACTCACGGTCTTCGTTTCGGGGGCTTCTGCGAACTTTTGCGATGGTCCCTAAGCACATGGCGTATAATGGGTTACTGGCTGTGCTAGTACTAAGTCTTGTTACTAGTCTTGTTAGCAACAATCCGAACTAGCGCACACGCTGCACTGCATTGCTTTGTACTGCATTCAAGACTGACGTCATGCACTTTGTTTTGCTGTGTAATCACAAATGGCGCCAGCCCGTTTTGCTGAAAAGAAAAACGAAATCTTGCTTGCACTGTTAAAGCTGTTGTGCTCTTCCAGACAACGGATCGTGATTCAGCAGTGTTTCTTTTCCTTTCGTAGCTTTGCTGCCAGCCCGAGTGTCACCTCAACACTGTATTTCTTCAGTATGTCTGACCTAACTGTCGACACTGTCAAGGCAATGCCTTGCCAAGCCCTCCGCGGCGAGCTTTCTCAGTGCGGCTTGAAACCGAAAAGAAACTTGGTAAAAGTATTTCACAGCATCCGTTTGCTGGTACAGCTAGCCCTTGGTAGTGAGGTCTGCTCTGGCCTGGAGAACCAGCAACATGACAGTGCGGACACGGCTCGCGAGCCCAGAAGCCCGATGGTACCAATGCCTCCTCCGCCAGCTCAGGTGACGCACGCTCAACGGATCTCTGCGCTCTCGTACGGGACGAGGTGTAGTCGGCTTAGTTGGCCGCCATTACGGAGAGCATTGTGCCGCTCCTCACCCAAGGCCAAGGCAACGCGGCTGCTGCCGCCACTACGCCAGCCCAAGCTCCTGTAACCCACCCGATTAGCCACCTGCATCAGCTGTGTCCAAGGTTGTGCAAGAACGCATCTTGCGAGGGGAGTTCGTAGATTTTTCAAGTAAGTTTGTTGCCTGAAATTCTTGCACACTTCCGGCCCAACATGCCGGCCGGTGCACAGCCCGAATAACGATAGCCAGCTAAAATTTAATATCATTGAGTCGGATGACGCGAAGCAGGTGCGTCGCAAGGTTCACGATATAGCTACCTGGCTCGAGGCATGGACCACATACATGGCTGTGATCACGGCTGCTGCCCCACACCGCACTGCTAAACTGCTGAACTGATTGCGTACCAGCAGTTGATCCTGACTGCTAACCGCCAGTTCTTCCCAAGCGCGTGGCCTGGAGTACGACCGCCAGCTGCGGATGCTCGTGGTCCAGTAACCAGGCACGAAGAGGTTGTTGGACACCATCGACGTGAACCTATGGCAGATAGCTGTCACAGGCCATGCACACCCAAAATGCGCTCAATGTAAGACGGTCCATCCAGGGGCGGTTTGTGTCCTTTTCGTCCCGAATCTCAATTCCCCAAGCCAGCAGCATTTACCTCCAGTGGTCGCACCCATACCAGCGATGGCCAAGAAATTTGCCGCAACTTCAATGGAGGTCGCTGTTCTTCGTCGTCGTGCCGCTTCTCCCACACCTGCAGCCAGTGCGGTAAGGACCACCCATGCATCAGGTGCAACCAGCAGCAGCGCGAAGCCAATCGGCCACCCCACCGCTCCTAGCAGAATGGCTACTGAATCGCTTGACTCGGTACGTAGCTTCTTTCCTATACACTCTGCAGACACCCCACTGCTAGCTGACCACTTTGCTCGCCTGTTACGTAACCACCCAGATCAATCATGTGTTGCGTATGTTCTCCATGGCCTGCGTCATGGCTTTGCTCTTAGATCTGCCGGCCAACACGAAATTTCTGTTTTATTTAATAATCTGCCCTCGGCTTTCACTCACTCGGCATTTATTTCCGAGCATATAGCTGCTCCCTGCGCCCGCAGCATTTCTATCACCTCCATTTCAGTTCATGCACCGCTCTGGTATTGGTGCCGTCCCCAAAAAGAACGGCAAGCTGCGAATGATCCTCCATCTGTCTAGTCCGGAAGGCACCGGCGCGAACGACAGCATTCCCGGCGAGCCGCTCTTTCTCTGTACTACGTGAGCATTGACAACGCCATCAACATCATCATGTCATGCCCACAGCCTGTGTATTTGTCCAAGCTCGATGTACGCAGTGCATTTCGGCAGATCCCAGTCCGCCGTCAGGACCTCGCTGGGAAGGCTTCTACTACGACGAGCGCTTTCTGCCTTTCGGCCTTCGCTCCAGCCCAGCTGTCTTTGACTCAGTAGCCACAGCAGTCAACTGGATCATGCAGCACAAGTTTTCTATAGATCACAGGCTTCATTACCTCGATGACACTCTCGATATCTCCACTGGTAGCCAACCAGCAACTCACCATCCCCCTCCGGGCATTCACGTATCTCGGCATTCCTATTTGCTCCATCCAAGCTCGAAGGGCCATCACCATCATTGACCTTCCTTGGTATTGTCCTAGACTGCGAGTGCCACGAAGCTCGTCTACCAGACGACAAGCTGGCCAAGATCCGTGCACCACTCATGGCTACTATCAGCGAGCGCAGCATCGGCCAGCGTCAACTCGAGTCCCTCCTGGGGAGGCTTACTTTTGCTGCCCGAGTCATCGTTCCTGGACGCACATTCATGCGTCAATTATGAACAGTATGCCCGGAACTGTATCTGTGTATGTGAGTTCGGTGCGTAAAGCCCATCTTGAGAATGGGTTTGCCGGCCCCTTAGTAGATGCGTGGCCTCTGAAGAGGGTGATGAAGGGCATCCAGCGATGCCATGGTATGGCTGTACCCACCCCTTGCCTTCCTATCACTATGCCAATCCTGCGACACCTGATGGATGCACGCCGGAAAAGTAGTATCCTAAATGGCCATGACAAGCTGCTCTACCAAGCCGCCATGCTGCTAGCGTTCTTTGGACTTCTAATGGCATCACACGGGGCCGCACTAGCTGCCCTGGTGATGGACACTTACAACTCTTCCTGCTTTCATCCAAGACGGACGCATTCGGTAAAGGCGTTACTAGTGACATTGGCCTGTCTGTACCGCCGTACTGCTCGGTCCGTGCCATGGCTAGCTACACATTTTACACTCGTCGCGAGGGACCTGGAGGGACCTGGAACAACTCTTTTCCGTACTCTCGAACAGACAGTAGCTAACCAGGCAGTCATTCACAGTAACAGTACGGTCTCTTGTCGCTGAGGCCGGTGTACCATCCCAGTCGAACTACTCCGGGCATTCAGTCCACATCGGTGCAGCCACCACCGCTGCTATGGCTGGTGTCCCCGACTCTGTCTTCCGAGTGGCAGGTCAGTGGAAGAGCGATGCGTGTCTATGCTACAGCCGGACTACAGCAAGCGCTAAGCGCCAGCTATCGTCCCGGCTTGCTGCCGTTTAATGGATGCCATGGTGTCCGACTCGCGTGAGTAATGAGCTACTGAACTCTAGCTGCACAATGCTTGCCTTTGCTGACATTAATTGACCCTTGCTGTGCGTCAATAGTGCTTAGCA